TTTACCATTCCCTTTAAGTTGTAGTTGCACAGGTACACTAGGCTTCTAACCACTACAACTAGAGCTGCCGGGCTACAGGCAGCGAGAGCTCGAGTCCCACACAGCTCGGATAACGAGGTTCCAGCAACAGGTGGTAAGGTACAATGGGTCCACAGTTGAGTCACGAGAACTAAGGCAACAGGTGGTGGGGTACTGTGGCCGCACAAATGGGTCACTGGAACTGAGGCAACAGGTGGTGGGGTACTGTCGATGCACAACTGGGTTACTGGAACTGAGGCAACAGGTGGTGGAGGTGTTGTGGACGCACAACTGGGTTACTGGAACTGAGGCAACAGGTGGTGGGGGTGTTGTGGACGCATAACTGGGTCACTGGAACTGAGGCAACAGGTGGTGGGGTACTGTGGACGTATAACTGGCGCACGCAGGCTCCGGCAACATGTTAAGGGATAGAGTAGCCTGTGATCGCATCATAACCTCTCACCTTCACCTGCTAGTGGGTCGCCTTCAACATCTCCAGCTCTGCAAGAACCCTAATAACCTACAAGTCCCACGGTTTACGGCATAAGATTACGCAGTAATAATTTTATAGAGCCGAAACACTACATCGGGAGATGTAATATATTTGTAGCAAACGATGGCAATCCCTTAACTTCCCTCCATTATATCTCGTCCTCTACTATTCATGTGAGCTTCCGATCCCCTTTCATATTCCGTTTACTTGCCTGGTTGTTCGTGCAGGGGCAGAGCTCTAGCTTCTGGGCTTGTCTCTCAACCTTCGGTCTACTATAGTGAAGAGGCTTTATCTTATTGGCTTCTGAAACCATAGCTCAATTATTTATCGTGAGGTTTCATAGCCTCTCTACCTTATATATTATCTAATGTTACTTAGTTCCCGTCTTTCCCGTTTCAATCGATCTGTCCGTCTACACACAGAGTACTTTGTATTTTGTGATGAAGGCCCGTCTCGTTATAAGCTCTTCCAGTGTCGATTGGAAGAGCTTAGAAGATGAGATTGATCATCATCATCTTCCAGGAGATGATTTCGCTTAATTTATCCTCGAGCTCATTTAAGTCAGCTCTGAAACAAGTCTGATAGCAAACGTCTGGACTCTCGATTATCTTGTGTGCTTGGTGAGGTAAGTGTCCACGCTAGTGCAGAACACTGCACCTCTGGCAGTCTGACAAGAGCCATGATGCACTTGAGCCTATAGAGCGAGGGCCTCCTTACGTTCTAATTAATGGCTGCAGGGCGTGTGTCGGAATGTTTAAGAGAGACCGTGGTGTACACACCTGTGCTTGACCTAGTCAAGTCCTAGTACCTCGAACTGGTGCTTAAAAGGACAGCCATTAAGCACATAAGAATAAAGGAAACTACAAAAGGCCTAATTGACCCATACGAGGCAGCTCTATCCCAAGGTATGTGATCTGGGACACTTTTCTGAACAAGAAAGCCATCTCACCAATCACCGTGTTGCTGCTATACGCTACAGCCTATCACTACACTGCAGCGAGTGCACGTACTGGACTACCAATGTAAAGAGCATCATGACCTGCCTACATTTGTCTATGGTAGTTGGGTGTAGGCATACATGCCGCCTGGCCCTATTTCCTACTGTATGCGTTCTCCAGTCCTCCTAACCTATCCATCTAACTTAACCTACCTATTTACCGAACTGTTTTAGAAGACTATTGATTATGTATATATATATATATATATATATATATATATATATATATATATATATATATATATATATATATATATATATATATATATATATATATATATATATATATATATATAATATAATCCACATCCTAATTAATATGATCAGTTGCCAACATATCAAATGGATTTCGACAAGTGTGATATATACTGAGCATTAATACATGTCGAGGACGACATGAGAGACCATATCGAGGACGGGTTGTGGTCGCCCTGACCCTCAACCCTTACCCTAACCCAAATATATATTTTGTATTCAGAGATGTTTAAGAGAGGTAGACAAATTTATTATTAAACATGAACGAATAAAATCCTATCGTGCACAAAAATGGTAATTTCGATTAGTCATATTTATCAAAGCAAAGACCTGATATGAGGATCTAGCCTGATCATAGCCATATCTGAGCTTTCCTCATCATAGCCATATCTGAAGAGCTAGCCTCATCATAGCCATATCTGAGGAGCTAGCCTCATCATAGCCATATCTGAGGAGTTAACCTCATCATAGCCATATCTGAGGAGTTAGTCTCATCATAGCCATATCTGAGGAGCTAACCTCATCATAGCTATATTTGACAAACTAGTCTCATAGCTATATATATGAAACTAGTCTCATCATAGCTACATCTGAGGAGCTGGCCTCATCATAGCCTATATCATGCGCTATTCTCTGCCGTTCTAAAATCTTGTAAAAATACATCATGAAACATTCAACATAGAGGGATGGGTAATATGTACAACTTCTGACACACCAACAACTTTCACGTCCAAAAACCAATACATTCAGATGCGTTCGTTATTCTTTGAAGTATCTTACTAATAGTGTTTGTGTTTTCACATAATCTCACATAGAGTTATGTTATGTGACATATTGCTTAGGAACCGTGGCCTTAATTACCATTTTAGTTAATCAAGCGTTTCATATTCCTGATCAGTTATGCTGAAATCTTTGCTCTCTTATGACTTGAAGCCTCAAAAATAGACGGGAATCTCAAGTATGAAGACACAAAATATTAATATTTAAATTTAAATTATATGTATATTTGTTAAATGGTGAGTGTTTTCCACTGGTTATTTTCAGATTCTGTGACGACACTGACAACCGCCTTAAGTGTCCTGTACTAATGCTAGGCCTGACTGCCCACACCCCAAACACGCAACAGCTAACAGAAGCCCTATAATCTTCCAATCTTGGACCCATGTAACCATTTTTTGCCAAAAATCACGAATGAGATATATATAAAAAAGTACAACTTGGGAAATACTGAAATGTTGACAAAATCTTCTTAGACGCATGTTTTATTGAAGTAAACCCCAGTCCGTCCTCATAAAATAATAGCACTTATACCGTGTATTTGGTCAAACTCACCGATGTATACTGTTGGACCTCTAAAAGGTTTACGTTTTGTATTGTTGAATTAGCCCAATGGCATTTTAGAAAATCGGAAATGTAACTAAAGAACCTAACCCTAACCGGTCCAAGCAATCTTAGGTCTATAACACGTTATCTTAGGCCTAATATATGCTCTACTAGGCCTGGGAATGTTTAATTTTAGTTTTTAGCTCTTTCTAAAACTATAAAATTAATTGTATTAAACGTGAACGTGTTTGTGTCCAACACTACATATTGGTATGTTCTACCAAATAGTTGTTTTAAGTACTATCATTTTAGGAGTCTGGGTTCCATAGCGTGTCATCCCTGCGAAGCGTCAAGATATTTACTGTAGGCTGCGGCGTTTGGTTGTATCTGATGTCCACACACGTGGACATTACTGTGATTGTCTGCCGGTACTGTGGGGCGCCGTAGCGTGTGGAGCAGTGTTGAGTATGGTCCCTCATTCAATATCACAACAGCTTCAGGATTGAAGCAAAAGCTAACGCGAACCCGCCTTGTCGAGTCTGGGTTACCCTACCACAGTAGGCAGAGATGACATTTATACAGCCGTTCTTACAAGTATCGTGTATAAGTCCGCCATACAGTTTTGTCTTCCGTCAGTTACTTCAGCGTTAGAGTTCAGCATACACTGAAATTGTTAACGTCTTCCAACCGTCAGTACACAAAAGCCTGGTTTAACAATACAATGCAACATTGTTAGTGCTTTGGGAAGTTCTGAATAAAGTTAGCAACCAAAATCAACTGATCTTTTATCACACAAGGAACAAATTGTCCTTCATGTTTCGTAATTTAAGGCAGTGCAATGTGATATGTCTCATATCCTGCTAAAATATAATGATGTTCCTACTGATGTCCTCATAATGATGGTAAGTTTATAATATGTCTCCTTCCCTTTCGCTCTCTTTCTTTCTTCCTTTTCTCTTCTTTTCTCTTCTCTTCTCTTCTCTTCTCTTCTCTTCTCTTCTCTTCTCTTCTCTTCTCTTCTCTTTCTCTCTCTCTCTTTCTCTCTCTCTCTTTCTCTCTCTCTCTTTCTCTCTCTCTCTTTCTCTCTCTCTCTTTCTCTCTCTCTCTCTCTCTCTCTCTCTTTCTCTTTCTCTCTTTCTCTCTCTCTTTCTCTCTCTCTCTCTCTCTCTCTCTCTCTCTCTTTCTCTCTCTCTTTCTCTCTCTCTTTCTCTCTCTCTCTTCTCTCTCTCTCTTCTCTCTCTCTCTCTCTCTCTCTCTCTCTCTCTCTCTCTCTCTCTCTCTCTCTCTCTCTCTCTCTCTCTCTCTCTCTCTCTCTCTCTCTCTCTCTCTCTCTCTCTCTCTCTCTCTCTCTCTCTCTCTCTCTCTCTCTCTCCCCCCCCCCAGAAATACTTAGGAAACGCAGCCTTCCGTACAGCCGCAACTCTAATATTACAAACCTTTAACAAAGGTGCTTCAAATTTCAATTAACAGTTTTCAGTGGCAGCCATTGTGCGGAGTGCTTGGGGTGAGAGGAGAGCAGTTTACTACCGACACTTGTTATGAAGACAACATCATTCATTAATAACGACTTCACTGGCTTATAATTCAGTGTTGTTGGTGTATATGTTGAGTTAATAACTAATATTAGCAGTAACACTATAATAATACAAAAAGAGTTATAATATTAATGAGAAAGAAGTAATGATATGAGACCAAAACTTACAGTAAAGTATCGGTTCTGAAATAAACACTATACAGTATTATTAAACATGAGCCAAAGTTCTTGACAAATATACATCAAAATATATATTTTCGATTTCAAACGCATGAATATTGTCATTAATGATCACCAGATAATGCCTGTGTCACAACATCTGTCTCTTAGTTTCTAAAAATTTACTTGTCCAAACTTTACTGTGTAATACGCGTGCTCCTTGATAACTATTTGGCATCTTTAATAACGTAGAGACCATATTTCTCAGTCTGAAATGTGAGAGCTTAAACTGGCGAGGCTACTCCTCACTGCTGAATGTCATGTCATTATGGATAGTAACGTCCAGTCACCTTGTATATCATGTTATAATATTATTACATTGCGTGTGTGGTGTAAAATACATAAATGCATTATCCCTGATTCTATATTGTTTACATTATTGTCCTGAATTTAGTACAAAGAACTAAATAGCGCACCATGGCTATTTGTGTATCTCATAATATACAGAGGACACGTGTATAGTATCAACAAAGTGGTGGGTTTGGAAGCCTTCAAGAACACACGACCGCCCAGGTAAAGGACCAAATGTTGGAGATCTTTCAATGAATAGAAAACCTCATTAATACAGTTTTTGGCCTTATTAAGGATTATAAAAGCTTTCTATAATTTGCAATACCTTATTCAGTATTCCTAGAGAATGTATTGTCTTGCGTTAAGATGTTATAACGTGGCCTTGCATGTCTTTACACATTCATTATATTTGGAATGGGCTCCATATAATGTGTTGACCCCGAGGCCTGCATTACGACGCCCGCTCTCTCTAGTACTCCCATGTAAACACTTGCCAAAATAGAGCTGCCCAAGACGTTCTCTATTTTCCAAAGAGAGGTATGTATAGTCTTGGGGACCAGTTAACTTTTACTCGCACACATTATATATACTCTCTATTATATGAGAGAGAAAGAGAGAGAGTTGTCGAGTGAGTCTCACTTTCTATTTTGCTCTGATGAAGGCGAATTGAGCCGAAATGGCGTTCAGCATTCTCTAATTCTTCACATGTGGTTTTTCCGCATACTTGGAGAGGTGTGTTTGTGATCATTGTTGCGCACATATATATATGTATTTACGCTTTAATAATGTGTGTATTTACGCTTTAATAAATTAAGTAGGGATGCCTTCACACCTCAAGGCATTGTGCTTGACCTCATCTGGGAACTATCAATGATCAAGAAGCTGGCCTAAACATCGAAGTGTTCCCGTGTAACGTTCTCTTCGTTGGACTCTCCGTTTTCTATCTTTGGTTGACGGAGGAACTGATGACGCCGTGCCGTCTCGCTTCGTGTATTCTGCAGTCTCCGTGCTTCAGCTGCTGCACTCCGACTTGATCCACTGCGCACAGATCCATGCCTGCCGGAGGACTGGGAGTAGTGGCGTTGCTGTGAACGCTTGACGGCAGCTGTAGCAGTGTCAATGGTCTCACTGCGACGAACGCGGCGTGAAGCTCGGGGCCGTCGAGGCTCGCGGAAAGAACCGCCACTGGTGGCACGACTGGATATTCCAGTTACGTCTCGAGACTCCCAGCTTTCCTGTGATATTTCTAACAAGTTGAGCGCCAGGTGATCAGACGTGGAGGTCTGTTTGTCCACCTTAATGCAGGACAGACCTGAAGGACCAGCGACTTCAAGGTCTCGCTCGAGCAGTGGGCTGGAGGCCGAGGGTTCGTCGAAGTCTGTACGCGTGTTACTGGGTGAGCGGCTCTGATCACGGACGGCCAGAGTTACTGAGCATTGCGGCAGGTGAAGGTCCATGGCCAGAGACGCTTCACTGCCAGCATGGTGCACTCCCGTGGCTGAGGCACCCAACTCTAAGTCTTCATCACCGCGCTCACCGATGAAAGCGGAGTAGACAGTGTTGTAGACGTCCCGCACGGCCGGGTTGTCAACGGACATGGCCTGGCGAGGGAGACTGTTGGGGGTGAGGCGCCCGCGTGGGCTTTGTGGTGGGTTGGTGGGCCGCGCCGCCACCTTCAACACCCGAGGCGGCTCGTTCACTCTCCGCTCCCCCTGCTGGAAGGGACGTACGAGGGACGGCGCAGACGGACACTTAACCAGTTGAGGGCGCGAGCCGCGGGAGTCGTAGTACTCGGCGGCTGAGTCCAAGCTGGTCTGTAGGTTCTTGGAGAACTGTATGAAAGCAAAGGTCATCGCACGACGAGAAAGTTCGCGGCCATTCTGCTGCCGCATCAGCTCTGACCCGTAGAGTCCCAGCGTTTCCCACTTGGTCTGACACGACGAGTGTCGCACGCTGGCGTCCTCGTCGTTGCCCTTCCGCTCCGGAAACGTCTTGCGGAACCTGGCTGGCACGATCTTTGCCGCACTGTCGCGGGCTTCAAAGGTCATCACACAGGCAGCCACAATGACGAACCCTGCAAGTACAAGACATGCTTAGACCAGGCTCTTCACAGCACACTCGTGAGGCTGTTGACTCACATTAATGAGTCCACAGCCTCCTAGTCTCTGCAACCTGCTTGTGAATGGTAAAGTTTATACTTGGTTAAACAAATTTGCTGTTTACATCAAAACCAAAGCTTCGGCTCTTTGGTCCCACCAAAGAGCCGAAGCTCAACCCCTACAACCCCAACTAGGCGAGAACGTATAGAGAAGCAGTGAGGAGAGTCACAGGCAGTGAGAAGAGCCACAAGCAGCGAGGAGAGCCACAGGCAGCGAGGAGAGCCACAGGCAGCGAGGAGAGCCACAAGCAGCGAGGAGAGCCACAAGCAGCGAGGAGAGCCACAAGCAGCAAGGAGAGCCACAAGCAGCAAGGAGAGCCACAAGCAGCGAGGAGAGCCACAGGCAGCGAGGATGAGCCACACACAGACAGGTGCAGAGAGCCAGGCTCCTACGGGCCGCCGCCAACACCCTCCTCACAAGTTTACTAATTAACGCAGAGATAATATGCTGAGTGGATAATGTATGAGAGTGTGTGTGTATCCTGTTTGTTGCTTCAGCAGGAAGTGGAGAACACGAAAGACAGAGAGAGAGAGAGAGAGAGAGAGAGAGAGAGAGAGAGAGAGAGAGAGAGAGAGAGAGAGAGAGAGAGAGAGAGAGAGAGAGAGAGAGAGAGAGAGAGAGAGAGAGAGAGAGAGAGAGAGAGAGAGAGAGAGAGAGAGAGAGACAGAGACAGAGAAACACAAACACAGAGAGACAGAGACGAATATAAGGAGGTGGAGAAGAATAAGAGAGAGAAAAACGAGTACATAGAAAACGAACAAGACAACAGGTAAAGTATGTAACATCATTTTCTATTTAAGAATGTCCTTTTAGTAGTTCTGAAGGAATATGTTATTGAATTATTTATGTATCTGTGTCTGCTGTACTCCAGCGCCTCACCCCCCCCCCCTGACACCAAGTTGCTCCTGGATTCAATACTGAAGACGGACACAGGAGAAAGAGGAATCAATTTCCGTCTAAAATGATGAAATTATAACTATTCCCTAGTTCCAAAAATATCAACAAACAATATGAAAAAGTTGTGAGAAACATAAGTTAACCCTTGTTACTGTGTGCTCCCCAGCGGCCACTTCTTTATTGACTTTACTACACCACCATATTTGACTTTACTCTCGTACGGTTTAGCGAATCTTTTTACTATTTAAATGCTCAGAAAAGTTGGGCACAAAAGTTTTCTTATTAAAGTAGTAGTTTCATTATTCTCAGTAACTTCTCTCATTTCCTGGAGTCGTTCCGTGGTTGCTGGTGAGGTGGTGAGGTGTCTCACCGTCCCGGAGCACCTCAGGCACTCACGCTTCCTCATTCCTTACTACGTTGAGTTTACATTTTTCACTCATTAAATATTCACAAGGAAACGACACCAATCTTCACCACATCTCTTAAATATTTCAGCCAAGAGCGTCGCCATGGCTCCAGCACCGCCCAGCACAACCTGACAATACAACACAACATTTGCGATGTCACAATATTAATTGACAACTACTACACGTTTCCAGCGACAATCGTCCACAGGTTTAAAGGATACGCCACATTCGACAATTAACATCTACCAGTGACATACAAGACAACACAGCTGACAAATGTACTCTTGTTATGCTAGCTACCACAGTCCACTATATCACAACTCAGCCTTTTTCGTGTCATACCCAGCATGATGGACTGCCAGGGAACGTTTTATTTATGTTAAGATGAATAAACTTATGGAATGAGGTTGATATTAGGCTGTGTCTGCATTTTCGTGAATTATTTTGGTAAAACAAGATGGCGCCTGGTCTAACTCAATCGTCATATCTGTCGACAATGCTTTACAGGCCACGTGGCCAAGTATAACAATTGGAAAAAGACTTTGAAGATCAGCATCCCTGAGCAGCCCGTCCTCCTAAGATTTCCCAACGTCAAGAAACCGTCGTACTAAAGTGCCCTTATCCTAACGTACCAGAGGACCCAAAACAGAAAACGGGACAGTATGTCAATTTCGTGAGCTGCTGCCATTTTCTAGTACGACAATTTTTGGCCTTAGGTAGAGTATACGTCAAAATGCGACGTTCTATTTGGAGGGCGGATTGTACTGAAACTGTTCGTGATTCATTCTGAGGTCACTGAGGAGTGACCTCAGTGCAGTGAAGGTCAACGACCTCACAGTGCCATCACTGGTGGCCCTGGCGGAGTGGCCTCAGGGCCGTGCTGAGCCCAGTAGTAATGGGGCGGTAAAACTGATGGACGATGTGGTTCATGGGGCACTATACTGCCGTCCCGGGCGTCGACACCTCGCGCCCCATCAACCCAAATACAAAACCGATACACTTAATTATGCTAATTTCAGCACATGGCGAATATTTACTACTCTTTTCATTGCCTTGATTTGATAATGTAATAACGAAATAACTAAATTTAATACAAATATATAAAGATTGTTAAAGATTTATTTTTTGTTGAAACGGCGCATAATACCAACAGCAGTATGGAGGTGAGAGTTATGTTAAGACTACCGATGAAGGAAAATTTGGCTAGATGATGCCATTTGCTTACTGTCCGGAGAGTGACGTAGTGTTTCTTCACATCCCAGAAGCTCACATTAGCTATTTTCCGTAACTCTGGCACTCGTTTGTATAGTAGTTGAGAAGCATTGTCGGGAGGTAGCAGAGTGCCTCTACTTCCTGCTTCAGGATCTGTGCTGAGAGTTCACTTGGTCCGTGAGCACCTGCTTTGTGTAACGCCTCCAGGGGTCACCACACCTTCGTCTCCGTCATCTTTATTTCACTCAGGCTCTATTTGAGGCCCTCGCGGCTGAGGCCCCTTAGGCTCTGTGTGTGTGTGCTCATATAGTTGTGCTTGCGGGGGTTAAGCTCTGGTTCTTTGGTCCCGCCTCTCAACTGTCAATCAATTGGTGTACAGGTTCCTGAGCCTCTGGGCTCTATCATATCTCTATTTGAAACTGTGTATGGAGTCAGCCTCCACTACATCACTGCCTAGTGCAGTCCATCTGTTAACCACTCTGACATTAAAAAAGCTTTTTCTAACGTCCCTGTGGCTCATTTGGGTACTCAGTTTCCTCCTGTGTCCCCTTGTTCGCGTCCCATCCGTGTTAAACAGTTTATTTTTATATACCCTGTCAATTCCTCTGATAATTTTGTAGGTAGGGATCATGTCTCCCCTATCTCTTCTATCTTCCAGTGTTGCGAGGTTCATTTCCAGTAATCTTTCCTCATAGGTCATTCCTCTTAGCTCAGGGACTAGCATAGTGGCATACCTCTGAACCTTTTCTTACTTCGTTTTGTGTTTGGATGTGGACTTCTCGCTGGAGCCGCATATTCCGGTATTGGTCTGACGTATGAGGTATAAAAGGTTCCGAATGATTCCTTACACAAGTTTCTGAAGGCAGTTCTTATGTTGGCCAACCTAGCGTATGCCGCTGATGATATCCTTTTGATGTGGGTATCTGGGGACACGTTCGGTGTAATGTCAACCCCCAGATCTTTCTCTCTATTTGACTCTTGCAGAATTTCACCTCCCAGATGGTACCTGGTGTTCAGCCTCCTGCTCCCCTCGCCTAGTTTCATTACTTTACACTCTCCTGAGTTAAACTTTAGTAGCCATTTTCTAGCCTCCAGTTTGTCCAGGTCGTGCTGTAGTCTCTGTCTATCTTCATTATGTGGTGATTCTTCTCAACATTTTTGCATCATCAGTAAACATTGAGAGGAATGAGTCTATACTCTCTGAAAGATCATTTACATATATCAGAAACAGGATGGGTCCAAGTACAGAGCCCTGTGGGACTCTGCTGGTGACATAATCTGCTGGTGTGACATAATTTAGCTGGTGGTATTTGTGTGTGTACTCACCTAGTTGTGCTTGCAAGGGTTGAGCTTCGGCTCTTTGGTCCCGCCTCTCAACTGTCAGTCAACTGATGTGTGTGTATGTGTGTGTGAAACCCTCTAAGAAACTCAGATCTGTACAAGTCAACACAGTCGTCCACTGACCTCCGAAGCCCATGACGATGGGTCCCACATAGGAGAGCTTGTTGAGGCCAAAACCTCCATCAGGAGGGAAGACCTTGCCCATGGAGGGCCTGCTGGTGGTGTCGTTGTTGAAGAGGGTGTTGTTGCTGGTGATGATGGTGGTGGTGGTGTTGTTGGTGCTGGTGTCGGAGGAGGAGGAGTCCCGGTGGCCGTGTGCCGGCGTAGGTCGCTGCCTGCCGGGGACGTGCGGAGGCAGCGGCAGGGTGTACGACGACATGTTCACCACCATCGCTGAGCTGCTGCCGCTGCCGTTCCACGACTGCCGCCTCAGCTCCTCCTCCTCGGCGTAGTAACCTGTCGACACAAAAATGTTCAGTTCGCGCACTTCACTCACAATTTACGCGGGTTTAACCCCCGGACAAACTTTTTAAATTCATGTGCAAGGCAGTTGTTGACGTGTAGCGGTCCAGAGAGAATATTTAAATAGAATTGTGGTGAGAGCGACACAAAGGTGTTCCTGGGGGCCCCTGGTCCCTAAACACAGGTGTTCCTGGGGTCCCTGGTCCCTAAACACATGTGTTCCTGTGATTATCGTTTCCAGCCGGGCAGAGCCATGAATTTTGTTAGGCTTAATAAGCTCCCCATAGGCCTAACCAGCACCCCCCCCCCAAGAATATAACCCACAACAGTTGCCTTACTCCCGGGTACCTATTTAACGCAACAGAAACATCAAGGGAAGGGGGATCGAACCCGGGATGTTGTGGTTGTGAACTGACCATAAGCTTGACCTTGTATCGAATATGTCCTGTGAGGGGGGGGGGGGAGGGGGGGTGAGCACATCCCCCACTCTCCCCCCCCCCCCCCGCCCCACACCCAGTACAATGTCCAGCCTCTTATATCATTAGAGGCTGAACACTGAGAGCAGCAGCAGCCACAGCCGCCACAGCCACCGCCGCAGCAGCCGGAGTGTAAACCAAAACAAGGCACCAGACGAAGAAACTGTAACGGTTGTGTTAAGTCATTAGGAAGCAGGCGGCGCTCTCCCGCCCTTTCCAAGGATTCAATGGAGCGCTGTAAATTTTGGGTGTTGGGGCGTGCACTGGCTGGCCAAACCATAGAGCCTCTATATCGGGAGCAACCCACAGAGCTGAAGTATCGGCAGAGGGCTTCACTGACCCCAAATAAGGGCCTGGCTGACGTCATCTGGACGCCATTTTGAATTTCCGAGTGTACCGCTCCAGGAGCGGGTACTTCTTGCATGTGAGGCATTACACCCTTTTCAAGAACTCTTGGGGTTAGTTATATGACATTTTAAATAACTATTTAAACTAAAAATTCAGTCATGTCGGTAGACAACTTCTCAGAGCATGTCCATCCATCCAGCGGTCGACCCCAAAGACGCATTCATCAATTTTAACATGCTGTTCATTCAAAACGGGAATTTTCTTAAACGTAATTTAATATTATAATATATTAAAATATTGTGCATATACAGTAATATGTTATGTTAGGTTAGGTGTTTAGGTTCTGTTGGCGATTATTTGTATTTGTAGTACGTGAGTGTTCGGGCCACTAAACACAGTGTTCGGGCCACTGAACACAGTGTTCGGGCCACTAAACACAATGTTCGGGCCACTGAACACAGTGTTCGGGCCACTAAACACAATGTTCGGGCCACTAAACACAGTGTTCGGGCCACTAAACAGTGTTCGGGCCACTAAACAGTGTTCGGGCCACTAAACACAGTGTTCGTGCCACTAAACACAGTGTTCGGGCCACTAAACACAGTGTTCGGGCCACTAAACACAGTGTTCGGGCCACTAAACAGTGTTCGGGCCACTAAACAGTGTTCGGGCCGTAAACACAGTGTTCGGGTCACTAAACACAGTGTTCGGGTCACTAAACACAGTGTTCGGGCCACTAAACACAATGTTCGGGCCACTAAACACAATGTTCGGGCCACTAAACACAGTGTTCGGGCCACTAAACACAGTGTTCGGGCCACTAAACAGTGTTCGGGCCACTAAACACAGTGTTCGGGCCACTAAACACAGTGTTCGTGCCACTAAACACAGTGTTCGGGCCACTAAACACAGTGTTCGGGCCACTAAACACAGTGTTCGGGCCACTAAACAGTGTTCGGGCCGTAAACACAGTGTTCGGGTCACTAAACACAGTGTTCGGGTCACTAAACACAGTGTTCGGGTCACTAAACACAGTGTTCGGGCCACTAAACACTGTTCGGGCCACTAAACAGTGTTCGGGCCACTAAACACTGTTCGGGCCACTAAACAGTGTTCGGGCCACTAAACACAGTGTTCGGGCCACTAAACGGTTTCACTCATGCTGATCACCTTACAGTCACTTTAAATCTCCAGTTTTGTCGCCTGCCTTCCCTAAGCCTACCTTCCCCCTCCTGGCCAAATTCTGTGATGGGCCGAGGTCCCCGGGGGACGGTGTTGAGGGTGAGGGAGGAGACCACCAACACCTCAAGACGTTAGTGAAGATTTACTCGACACCATCTTGTTAGCAGCTTCCCCCCCTCCCTTCCACGGCTCTAGTCCCAGCCTGAGTGCGGCTCCTCAGGGCGGAGCGCTGCTTCAAGTAATGGATATCTTTGTATTTGTCGTCACCAGAACTCCCTGCATCAGTCATTAAGCTGGAGTATATCAATACATACCTATAAGTGTTTTACTAGGGGAGACAACATGGGTGTATCAGTGTTGCCAGGGTAGTACATATGTGTGCTATACTAGGCCGAGGAATATGTAAGTTTGGGTTTTAGCTTCATTTATTTTAGTCACGCGGCCTCCACACTGCCGGCCGAGTGCGGCCTCCACACCGCCGGCCGAGCGTAGCGACTATCAACTCCTCATTAAGGTAATCACGACCGAGCTTTATATCCTCATAAATCTCTAAGAAAATAGAATTTGCTGAGCAGGAAGAGAGAAGTTTGTTGCGTGTTAGTTTATGGTAATGGTGTTGTGGACGGGTGTGTGTGTGTGTGGTGGACGGGTGAGTGTGTGTGTGTGACTGGTGGACGGGTGTGTGTGTGTGTGGTGGACGGGTGTGTGAGTGTGTGTGAGTGGTGGACGGGTGTGTGTGTGTGTGGTGGACGGGTGTGTGAGTGTGTGTGAGTGGTGGACGGGTGTGTGTGTGTGTGGTGGACGGGTGTGTGTGTGTGTGTGTGTGGTGGACGGGTGTGTGTGTGTGACTGGTGGACGGGTGCGTGAATAAGATCCTCCATTAACACCCAACTCGTCATAACACTGCCAGACGTCGGTCGTGGCGGCGACGAAGAGGGAAGCTGTCCTTCACTCTCTAAACGGTCTGATTTGCACTTAAATTCCCGAAGCGAGGAGAAGCCGGAACTGCTGTAATGGAGGCGGCGGCAGTGGTGTGGATGCTGAGACTAGTCTTCAGCCCTAGGTACCCGCTACCCGCTCACTCTCCCGTCCTGGGGGGTACCCGTTATACCCGCCCACACACACTCCCGTCCTGCGGGTAACTGCTATACTCCAGTTACCCGCTCAAAAAAAAAGCCCTACTGACCCAGGTCATGTAACCTTCCCTGACACATCTGGCCGCCCCAGGGAACACCAACGTCGACACATCTTGCCGCCCCAGAGAACACCAACGTCGACACATATGGCCGCCCCAGAGAACACCAACGTCGACACATATGGGCGCCCCAGGGAACACCAGTGTCGACACATCTGGCCGCCCCAGGGAACACCAGCGTCGACACATCTGGCTGCCCCAGGGAACACCAGCGTCGATACATCTGGCCGCCCCAGGGAACACCAACGTCGACACAACTGGCCGTCCCAGGGAACACCAACGTCGACACATCTGGCTGCCTCAGGGAACACCAGCGTCGACACATCTGGCCGCCCCAGGGAACACCAGCGTCGACACATCTGGCTGCCCCAGGGAACACCAGCGTCGACACATCTGGCCGCCCCAGGGAACACCAACATCAACACATCTGGCTGCCTCAGGGAACACCAGTGTCGACACATCTGGCCGCCCCAGAGAACACCAGCGTCGACACATTTGCTCCACCCATAAATCTTTTTCATAGTTGTGTTGGTGCGATTTGTTTCCGTCGCTTTAATTCTCCGGGAGGCCCCGGTTATCACGGCTCCAGTGTTGCCAGATTGGGCTACAAATAGCGAATTGGGCTATTTTTGAGAGCCCCGCGCTCCCAAATTTTTAATTTCGCTACTTGCTACTTTTTGGGCTAATTTAAAAGCAAAATGTGCTAATTTAGGCTATTAATGTTAAGAATGTACGATTGCGAGTTACATGAAAGTAACTAAGCTATAAATATTTGTAATTAATAATAATTGTAAATATTAATTAATACTAAATAATATTATTTAATAAATTAGTCCCAATTCAATGCAGAGTTTTCTTCCAAGCACAGAAACTTGTAAATATAAATACAAGATAATAGATAGATCGATAAATAAATAGACAACTTTCAAATATTGCAACAAGTAATGGCGAGAGGAAAAAACAAGACAGTATACATTACATTTGAAATTAATAATGGATGAATGGTAATAAATTGGTGTATGTTTGTATGTATACCAGACAAAGTCCATTTAATGGCAGAATTTAGCCATTTTGTGTATAACTTTTATATCTCCTATTATTAATTATAACAGTAATAGAAAAAGTCATAGTTTGTATATACAAGAGATGAAACAGAGAGCCATGAGCTAGAGCGATGTGCTGAGTCCATAAGGAGGCCGATCTTCCAGAAATACCTTCCTGTGATTGGCTGTTGCGAGGAATACCAACACTCTTTTATGAATAAAATTTAAACTAAGAAATAGGTCCTTGTGCACAACAACAAGGTTGTTGTGAAAAAGAACAACAATTTCTGTTTTGCACCTGACAGAAATCACCATCTAACTGAATAATTTACTCGAATAAGAGGGCAGAGCAGTGTATCATTATTTGTGTCAAGGCAACCCCCAATAATGACGTCACAAGTTAGGTAGCCAGCCCATTTTTATATATCTGCTATATCCTGCAATATTTAATTATCATTATATTAATACTTTTAAATACTTAACATTTCACATTTTAGGTAGATTAAAGTTGAAGCAGAATGTCATAAGCAAGGATGGTGTGCTGAATAAATATGATTTATTAAGTGGATGGAGCCTTTTAGCTGATCCCTTCCTGTGATTGGCTGTTGTGTGAATGTCAACAAAGAATATCTGCCAATGATATGCCATTTATTATGCACCCCATACCATTTGTGGGCGGAGCTTGGAACCTCCTACCCGAGCACAACAACCCATCTTATGGGTTGCTGTTTGGCTATTTATAGTGCGTTG